GTCTCATAAAAAGAGTGCTTACTGCTCTTGCAGAGGACCGGTTTTGATTTCCAGAACACACGTGGCAGCTCACAAGTGCCTGTAATTCCAGTTCCAGGGCATCCAAAACCCGTATTATCTCTTTAGGCTCTTGTCACATGTGGTACACGTATATAGACTGAAACATGCACACATAAAATAAATAAATATTAAAAGATAAATAAATAAGACTGGGCGGTGGTGGTTCATGCCTTTAATCCCAGCACACATAGGGATCCCTGTGAATTGGAGACCAACCTGGTCTACAGAGCAAGTTCCAGCACAGCCTCCAAAGTTACACAGAGAAAGCCTGTCTTGAAAAATCAAAACCAAAAAATAAATAAATAAAATTTAAAAAGTTCTTGTTTCTAGGGAAGATGGCACATGAGCTTCAACTGAGAGAGGTTATTAAGAGAACACAGAGATTTGGAGTAATTTTCTGTGAAATATGAGGATGTGTTGGACCAGGAGTGATTCCTCTCAGTAGCCTAAAAGCTGTTCTTTGTTAATCAGGAACAGAGAGAGTTTATACAGCTCAAATAAAGATCATATATCCCAAAAGGCTTATACTTGGCTTTGGGCTGCAGCATGCTCCACCATAGCAATTCTTTATCTGGAGGTACAAGATTTAAAGGTTTAGTAACCAATACAATCCCAATTCTTAGTCTTCACTCTTCCTGTCCAGCCTTTCTCCTGGGCCAAACCATTTCTGTTTGCAGGAGGATCCTATTCTCTCATTTTTTAAGAAAACATAGATCGTTAGATGTACCTTAAGCTGAATGAATTTCTCCAGGAAGAAGAGAAAAACGCATTAGACATGCATGTTGCTCTTCAGGACAGGGATACATGAACACAAAGACAGATTCTGGAATGGAGGAGACAATATCATCTCCCTTCTGCCTGCAACACAACTGAGCAGCATATAGGTAGTGAGAGCGCAGAGCGGAACACCACTGCACATGCTCACCATCTCAGGACCTGGCGAGTACAGGCAGGAGGATCATCTTCCACTATTTTATAGTGAGCTCAAACCCAGATGGGCTCCATGAGACCTTGTCTCAAGAAGAGGACCCAAACAAAAAGAGAAAGCACATAATAGATAGGAAACTGCTTCCTGTTTTTTTATTTTGTTGTTGTTGTTGCATTTATTTGTGTGTAGGATATGGGCTCGGCCACAATACATGTGACATGGTCAGAGAACAATTTAAATGTACAGGAATTGATTCTCTCCTTCTACCATGTGTGGTCCAGGGATAAAATTCAGAATGTCAGGCTTGATAACAAGTACCTTTACTGCTGAGCCATCTCACCAGCCAGACACTGGTCATTTTAAACTTTTCTCTGCCACCAGGCTAGGGACCTATCTTTAGCCTTAATTACACTTGGGTTGCTCAGGTTTCCCCCCTTGTCTTTCTTAACAGATGTCAAAACAGTTGGACATGTTTAAGACCAACCTAGAAGAATTTGCCAGCAAGCACAAGCAAGAGATCCGCAAGAACTCTGAGTTTCGAGTCTAATTCCAAGATATGTGTGCTACCATTGGGGTGGATCCTCTGGCCTGTAAAGGGACTGTCTGTGGGGCCTGGTGTTCTCGTAAGACCCTTAAGGGAGGGCTGGAGAGATGGCTCAGCTGTTAAGAGCACTGGCTGCTCTTCTGGAGGTACTGAGTTCAATTCCCAGCAACCACATGGTGGCTCACAACCATCTGTAATGAGATCTGGTGTCCCCTTCTGACCTACAGGCATAACACAGTGTACATAATAATAAATATTTTAAAATATTAAAAAAAAAACCTTAAGGGAGAGAAGCTCCCCTGTTGACCTCACTTCTGTGGGCTTCTCTAGATGCCAGCAAGGAAATATGGAGGATGTGTGTTTAGGGAGCATGTAGGAGGATGGTGTGTGCCCTTGTGATGTGCAGGCTGTAGTCTCTGGGTACCAACTTTCCTTGGACAATTTGTAGTGCACCTTTTCTCTTTTCCTGACTTCCTCTTATTAGAAAAAGGAAAGTATTTTATAGATGTTTATTTTGTTATGTTGAGGAACAGGAGCGTGGGGTCTGATGTGCACGTGAGTACAGGTGCCCTCTGGAGTCAGAGATGTCAGAACTCTTTGGAGCTGTAGTTAGAGGCTGTTGTGAGCTGCCTGACTTGGGTGCAGGAATGGAACCTGGGTCCTCTGGAAGAGCATGAAATGCTCTTAACTGGTGTGTCATCTCCAGCCTCATAAAGAGAAGAATTATTCACACTCTTGAGTAAGCTGGCCTCCAACTCAGAGCTCTGCTACCCTCTGCCTCTCTAGTCCTGGGATTATATTGTTTTAATCATGGGATTTTATTATCTTCTATTTATTTATTAATTTATCTATCATCTATTTATTTATTTTGTGTGTATGTAGTTTTTCGAGACATGGTTTCTCTGCGTAACAGTCATGACTGTCCTGGAACTCACTCTGTAGATGAGGCTAGCCTCCAATTTACTGAGATCTGCCTGCCTCTGCCTCCTGGGTGCTTGGATTAAAGGCGTGCAATACCACAGCCTGGCTTCAAGTGCTCTTAATTGCTGAGGCATCTCCAATGGCGTATCCCCCACTCCCTTACTCCCTTTTGAAAATTTTATTATGTAGCTCTGCTGGCCTGGAATTCACTGTGTAGCCTAGGCTGGCCTTGAACTCAGCATCTCAGCATCTCATATAGAGTAGGTTGGTTTCAAACTAGCTATATCCTGTAGCTTTCAAATGTTGGATTACAGTTGTGTGCTACTATAGCTCCCTAGAATGTATTTTCAGTTCACAGTGAGGGGGTTTTACTAGGACATGATCAGAAGCTTCTGTGTGTGTTTATTTTTAATTATTGTTTTCAGCTGGAAAATGGTTTTGGTCTGAGATGCTGGGCATTGGTGACTTCTATTGAGCTGGGTGTCCAGATTATTGAAGTTTAGGTGGCCCTAAAACATCGGAATGGAGGTAAGGATGGTTCGGTTTTATGGACTGGCCTCTTCTGATTTTCTTTTCTAAAACCCTATAGCCTGAAGGCCTGCAGGGTCTTGAGGCATATTTTAGCTGTTTCACGTGGTCTAATTCCTGGCTAGTCTCCACAGCCAAGGTTAAATAATACGGAGGTAGGAGGTCAGCTCTGGACTGGGCCATGATGATCTCATTGTGACTGCAGGTAGACCTGCAGGCCAGACCTGCCTTTCTGAAGTCTGTACACGTCATCTTAGAGGTGATGCCTGCTAAGCCTTTGCGTTACCAGATACCCTGAAAGTGAGTCATGGAGGAACAGTGAGCTGACTCAGCATGCAGTATGTTTGCTGCGCAAGCCTGCTTTCATGAATTCAATCCCCGCATTCTACATAAATGTGGAAGAAGCAAACTGAGGCCACAGCATTGCTCTCTGACCTCCGTACGCACATCATAGCATGGCTAAACGTATATCACGCACATAATAAAGACACAGTATAGTAAATCAAAATTAAAAAAAAAAACTTAAAAAATCTTGCTACCTAATAAGGGACACACCTGTAATTTAATTAGAAAAGTCTCAGGAAGAATCAGGAATTGGAGGCCAACCTGGACTAGGTAGAAGGTAAGGCTACCTGGATTACATAGTGACCCTATCTCAATAAAAAAAACAAAGCGGGGGCTGGAGAGATGGCTCAGCAGTTAAGAGCACTGCCTGCTCTTCCAGAGGTCCTGAGTTCAATTCCCAGCAACCACATGGTGGCTCACAACCATCTGTAATGAGATCTGATGCCCTCTTCTGGCCTCCAGGCATAAATGCAGAGAGAATATTGTATACATAATTAATTAATTAATTAATTAATAAAAAAACAAAGCCAGGTGTGCACTCAGGAGGAAGAGGCAGACAGGTTTCTGTGAAATTCAGCTGAACCAGGGCTATTTAGTGAGAGACATTGTCTGAAAAAAAAAATTTCACAGTCACTGTGTGTTTTTGGAGGCCAACTGTGCCTACATAGTTGGAGGCCTGTCTGCTCAAACCAAACAACAATCAAATCTGTCATCTGGTGGTGCCGTCTTTTTGTTGTTTGAGACAAGGTCCGGCTGGCTCCGTAGCCCAGGCCAGCCTAGAACTCATGGTCTACCTTTGTCTCCTGAGTGAGGGAATCCTGGAGGAAGCCACCATGTTCATCTGTTGCCTTCATTTTCAGATTTTCCTGGGCCTTCCCTATGGAAACAGGGTCCCAGGCCTCGCTTTTGTGGTCTGGCCTGTTACTTTAGGAGAGATTGGCGAACTGGAGCGACCTTTGTTGTTTGAGGTTGAGTGGAGAGGGTCCATATATCTGAAGTGGTGATTTTATTTTCTTTCTGCCCTCTCTAACAGGTCTGATAACTCTGGAGGAGCTACATCAGCAGGTGTTGAAAGGAAGGGGCAAGTTTGCTCAGGACGTCAGCCAGTAGGTCCTGCTTCCAATCCCTTGGGGTATTACAGAGTGTTTTTAAGAAAGGGTTTCTGTGTAGCCTAGACTGTCCTGGAATCTCACTAAGGATCCCAGAGTGGCTACCTACCCAGATCTCCTACCCAGCTACACATTTTTTCCTTACATGTTATGTGTCTGGGTTTTTTTTTGCCTGTATGTGTCTGTATACCTATGTGTGTACAGTGCCCAAGGAGGTCTTAAGGTGGTTTCAGATTCCCTGGAGTTGGAGTCAGAGGATCTTGTGGGTGCTGGGACTTGAACCCACGTCCTCTGGAAGAACATCTCTTAACTGTGGAGCCATCTCTCCAGCCCCACCACCTTTTGACTGTTGGAATTACAGGAACACAGTACACTGGGCTAGAAAGAACACTTTAAAGATCACACAACACCCTCCTCCTAGTCCTTTGGTGTTGAGGCTAACTCTAGAGCCATTTGCCATTTTCTGCATGGTAAAAATATGTTCCTTTTTTTCTGTGTTTGGTGGTATTGTGGATCAAACCCAGGTCCTTATGCTAGGCAAGGTGTCCATCACTTGAACTATATACCTAGCCCCATAAAACCTTTTTCTTTTTTTGTGTGTGGTGGGGTTTTTTTTTTTTTTCCTCCCCCGAGTGTGTAGCCTGGGACACACTATGTAGACCAGGTTGGTCTCAAACTCAGAGAACTCCACCTACCACTGCCTTAGTAGTATTGAGGTTAAACATCTGTGCCACCACATCGGGTATACAGTAAACTTTTTTTTTTCTACCTGAGCCAAGGTTTCTCTGTGTCGCCCTGGATGTCCTGAAACTTGCTCAGTAGACCAGGCTGGACTCCAACTCAAAGACTCACAGAGATCTACCAGCCTCTTCCTCCTTAGTGCTGGGATTAAAGGTGTGTGTCAC